GTAGTGTGTGTGTTTGTGTGTGGTGGTGTAGTGTGGTGGTGTGCGGCACGCTAAACTTGTTCCGTGCCAGGTGTGCATTAAATCTCCAGTTACTGGATTCACGTGTATTAAGAGTTTGGGAGGGGAGAGAAAGGGGGAGCTGACAACCAGGAGAGAGCCTCTGCATCAGTCTCTGCATGTTTTTTCATGGCAGATCAACATTGCGGGCTGTCTCGCACCACCTTTTTACCCCTTGTTACACCTTCAGCGAGGTCCTTTCCTGGCTGAGCTAACCACGGCCGTCCTGTTATAACGGCCCGTCATAGCTGATTTGGTAAAATCCCACCGTCGTTAACCTGATAGTTCCCAGTTTCTTCATTTTGACTGAGCACATTAAAAATCATTGTAAAGTTTCCTTGATTAAGCCACTCTTGTAACTATATTAACTTGCTTTTGTGCAGGCTGCGTCCCCAATAGCTTTACTATGTATTCTCAGCAGGTTTTTAGATTTGGCAGCAGGCATAGGCTGTTAAACTTCTTCAAACAGTACCATTGGTGGTAAACTGGGACGGCCCGTGACTAGGTTGACAATTTTATGGGTGATTTATGTAAAAAATGGATTTTTTGGTGATTTCCTGTTGAATATTGCATCAGGGAGATGGAAGATTTTTTAAAACAATCATACATACTTTAAAAGGCTTTTTTTCCAGTGTTGTCTTCTTCAGGGTTGATGCTGTTTATCAGAGAAGTGATAGGGCTCTGGTGGAACTTAAAAGCTTGTGTTCAAGCGTCTTTCTAAGTTGTAGAATCTTAAAATAATCTAAACATAAAATACATTTTCATTTAGTTTTCTTCACGAATTGAACAACGTATATAGCCATAGTGCGCTATTATTTTTCTAAGTTTTCTTACACCCCTTAAATTCAAAGGGAGGGCTATTCGTAACTCCCTCGCTTAAGGCTTGGTCACCCTTTATAGGCGTTTTCCTGACCCCCCAGCGGGGCTTTGGGACCACTTCTCTGAAA